CAATAACCAATAGCAACATAAATTAGCTACGTTCATGCGCTAAATAAGATCAAGATAGAAGAAATAATCGAAGAATTAAACTTGCATAAAAGTAGAAAAAGAGGTTCGAATTACCACATAGGGTTCCAACAAAATCCTAGAATAAAAACTTAGCTACTCATGTTCGCTACGAAAAACATAATAAAAATACGGAAAAACATAAAAGCTATGAATAAAAATAAAATAGGAGAACTATGATGAAGATTCTTCAAGTCTTCGTCTTCGTTCTTGTGCTCCTTAATCGCGTGTAAAAAAAATGAAGATAAAAGATAGAAGATCGATCCCCTTAATTGTGTGCTTTTTGGCCTTTAAATAGGGTGCAAAAATATAAAAGGGCGGTTTCCTTGTGTAATTAAAATTCCTTCACTGCGCCAATACGTTCCTCCGGAAGGCCGTGCGAGAATAAGCTTTAAAATCCGGCCGGCCGTCCGGTCTTCAATTCTTCAGAGTTTCGATATTTTCACTTTTGGCCCACTTTTTCTCCGAATTTGCAGTTTTCACCCCATAAGTTGCCAATTCTTCAATTTGCACCTAAAATACAAATAATAGCCATTTTAAGCACCAATTATCGTTAAAACACACCAAAAGTTCCAATTAAAAGGTACACTTAAGTGTATAAATATACACTTAACAGTAGAGAATTAAATGGTTTTCAACAACAATCTTTACATGATAATGTTTCCTCTGGTTTTATGGGTTAATTTTTAAACCACACGAAGATATGTGGTTTTGATTAAGTGGTTTTGAGTTTGGAACATATTCGGTGGTTCTGTATTAGGTGTTTTGTTCCTATAATGTGTTTGTCAACAATTTGTTTGTGAAAAACAAAAAATCTGTAAGTGTGTATTTTGTTTAGGTAAATTGGTTTGGGTTTGTTAATTGTTGTTTCAGGGTAAAAACCATGTTTAGGTGAATATGGTTTTTGATTTTTGTAAACGTGTTATCATTTTAATTTTTTTTTTATTTTGGTTTCGTTGTAACCACTCAAAGATATGCAGTCTTGTTTATGGGAATTTGAATTGTGAACATATGCCAACCATGATCTAAGTGGTAGTCAATTAAGCATTTTTCCGCTATTTTTATGGGTTGGTTTTTAAACCACACAAAATGTCATGTGGTTATGAATTAAGTGCAGTTGGTACAAATGTTGTGTGGTTTATTTATTTTTTTCTTCAGAATTTAAAAAAAAATGTATGTGTTTTGTATTAACTTGTTTCGAAGTGTGCAAGAATGTTTTTTTTTTCTTTAATGGTCTTATCTAAAACCACTTAATGGTACGTGTTGTACTCGCGCATGATGAACAACATTGATGTCAAATCATCATCACTCGCAAGGATGCAGTCGTCGTACACGTCACACTTATAAAAGTGAAGTTACGTCCACAGATCGCATCAAACTTCGACCAAACATATTTTATCAATGAATCAAAATTCATGCTATCAAACCATCGCTTTATTGTAACAATCCCTCGAAACCTCAACACAAATGTCACGTTGGAATCCATGAAATTGCACAAAATAATAACATGGTAAATTATGAAGTAAAAAACAACATGCTATTAAAAAGGGGGAAAAAATACCCCATTACCACGATTGAGAACATACATTATAAATCTGACATGTACAATGATAATAATTTTAAAACGGACATGTAACTTTGTAATCAGGGAATATATCAAAACCACTATGACATTTTAAATTATCGATCGAATATATGCTACAACAGCGTAACAAATGTGCATTCATATTAAAATTAATTCGAAAAGTGCTAAACCCATGACTATTACGCACTATTTGGTTTGCGGTGAAGCACGGAAACCACTCTGTTTTTATTTTTGTGAAGCACGCATATTTTACGTCCACCTTCTTCATTTCGATTTTTTTTATTTCTTAATTTCAATTCACCTGAGACCCCCAACACCAACCCCAAACACCCTCTGATCCTGAAAAAAAACCTAAACCCCACTAAACTGCCAACACCATCTCTTTTACTTGTCTCAATTTATACTTAATTATGGGTTTGTTTTCCCACAAAATCCGCAATATATGAATGTTCTTTGCATAAATCATTATGAGGTGGTGTACATGTATAGGCTTTATGCTCGATATTCAATCTCAGAAATAGCCCTAGGATAACCCAACTGGTAATTCCATTTATATATAAGATTATCAAAAATTATCACACACCAATAAAATCAAATGGGTGGAATTTATAATACTATCTATCAGTTACACATACATACTTGATGATGAAATAATTGAAAGATAAAAATCACCAAATGCTGGAAATGATCGGGTTAGACATCATTCAGATCCAAAATTGGTAAAACAAATTCAATTATTAACTCCTTGCCCATTACATAACTATAGTGCGAGAGCGAATAAGTTCTGAAAAACGAACGGTTCCACATGAAATGGGAAAAGAACACAAGCCAACACTACCGATTTTGCAAAACATTTCATACCACTGATTTAACGGGGGAGAAAACTGAACACAATTTGTAACAAAAGTTGTCAAAAGTGCTTAATATAGTTTGAATCAAGCTAATAACCTTGTCACGGTCGTCTTTCATCTTCATTTCATAGAAATTAATCATTACTTCATCACTTTAATGACTATAAATTTAATGAAGGAACATTGTCAATTTGAAAAATATTATACATTTTCGAAGTATATATTATCTAAAAATAGGGGAAATACTACACATATTCACTATCAAACTATCAGAAAGTTGAGAAAATGGTCACTATTATCATCTAAAAACAGGAGCAATAATCGTGTAACACATATCATGATAATAGTAATATCAGAAATATCATGCAAAAAAAAAAAAAAATTGAAAAAGATGTCCTAGAAACCGCATCGTCATCATCGATGCCCCAGAACTTTAATAACACCCCGTATAAAACTACTATTGATGCAAACCCCAATTAAAAAAAAAAAAGAAAAAAGAAAAAAGCGAATTAAGAAACCTCAAATGATAAGCAAGAACTCCTTAAATTAAAATACATACTGTGATAAGCAAGAAATCCTCAAATTCCATCCAAACTCCTTCAATTCTGTCGATATACTATCACATTTCTTGGAAGAAAGAAGACAACCGCGTGCCTGGAGACAAAATTCTACGTCATTACCAGACAAATTAAATAAAAACACAAAGAACCTTAAAAAAAACCCAATAAATTTGAACATAAAATGCGACTATGACTAACCTCTTGAGAAGCATTTTGGATGTAGCAAAACTACAGTTGCAAACATTCCCACGCCCAAAAATTGTTCAGTAATTATTCAGATTATAGCTTTAATTTTGTGGGCATCAGTAATTTTTGAAAGATTCATGTGTCTGTTCCTTTTTAGCGAACGAAAAACAAAATTATATTTACACATGTGAAATGAAATTGGAATTGGGAAGTTACGGATCGGGTTACGAATCGTGAGTTGCATTAGTTAATTCAGGGGATGCCAACGTTGTTTTCTTTTTTTCTTCTAAAAGTAGTCCTAGGACTTTCAAAAAATTACGAAAAAACATCTTCACTTTTTTACGGGCCTTTTTCTTGAATCATAAAACCATACAAATTGAGAAAAAAAATAAACCAACACGTCGTAAACTAAATCCCTGTATATCAAAATTTCTCATTACTCGGCCATGCTTCAGAAAAGAGAAAATTATCGGGTTTGTTTAGGCAAATCAGGAATACATGGATGGGGGCTCTATGCTAGACGAAACATTGAAGAAGTAGATATGAATTCATGTGTCCCAATTATTGCTGTTAATAATTTAAAATAAATGGGTCCAATCTAATTCCAACGTTTTTGCTTAAATTTGGCCCTTTTGCAGATTGTAGAAAAATTTGTTGAAGAAAAATTTCTTACTTGAAATTTCAACCACCGTTGGCAGTGGCTTTCGCTGGCAGCAGACGGTCCTTCACTCCGACTCTCGGACGATTTTTGTTGAACTTTTGATCGGCGGATTTTAGAGTTTCAATTTTGTGGGACGTAATAATTGTTGAAAGATTTGTGTGAGAATTGGGTATTGTGCAGTTTGTGCAGTTGAAGGACTGGGTATTGAAAGAGAAATTTAGGGATAAAAAAATTTCAGGAAAATTAGACGAGATGATGAAAAACGGCTGATATATTTTAGGGAAGATAAAATATAGGTTTTTCATTTTTACACCCAAAGATAGTAAAAATTATAAAACTTGCCCTAGGGTTAGAAACCCTAAGGTGCCAAAGATGAGGCAAGGTATTGTCTTTTAAAAGTGAAAAAAAAAAATCAATTTAACAAATTGAATTTCTATCTTTATTTCTTAAAATTTGAGATATATTGATGAAAAACAGGAGGTTGAAGCCGGAAGTATTTTTCACGATTCATCATTTTTGATAATTGTTGAAAATATAGCTAGAAAATTAGTAAAACAAAATTTTAAAAAATAAATAATTACAGAAATGCCATTAGAGTTTTTTAGGGTTGCCCAGTGTTTCTTTCTTTTTTATATATATATATATATATATATATATATATATATATATATATATAGAGAGAGAGAGAGAGAGATTATGTAATAATGGCAGAACTATTACAAGAATTTTCATTTGGTCTTTCTAAAATTTTGAATTTCACTAATTTTCAGTAAAGAAAGATATGATTCTTTATCTCCATATTTTGTTCATGGTTTATTTTATAAAGAGGTCTATTTTGATGTTACTATTAAAATATACAGTTAGTAAATAAATATACCCTTATTACAGTAACATTGCATCATTCAAGCTATCTTAACTATTGAGTATTCATATACTTTCATTCAAAGGTTTATTCAACGACGTTGAGCATTCAGCACTTAATTTTATAAAAAATAATATGAAGAAGAAATCACATGTAAAAAATTATATGTTTGTGAATGATGGAGAAAATAAAAATATAAAAGGAGAAAGTAAATATAAGCACGACGAAGAAATTACGAGTATGAAGAAAATAAGTGTTAAAATATTTGGATAAGGATTACAAAATTTGAGATTGTCTCAAATTCAACCGACCTATTGCCGTTTGTTTATAAAACTCTACACAAACAAATTATTTAACCTACTAGGAGTAGGAAATAAAAAAGAAAAAAGAATCACACAAACAAAATTGAATCAAGAACCCACCGCACGCACCACGAGAATGACTTGGAATTTCGGAAATACCACCACCGCCTTCTTCATCCTATTTGTTTTCATTCTCTCCGCCACCGCTACCAACACCGCCACTGCTCCCACGGCGTACAAAGCAATCGAATCGTACGGTTTTCCAGTAGGGATTCTCCCAAAAGGGGTAACAAATTACGATCTTGATACTTCTTCAGGCAAATTCAACGCCTATTTAAACGGTTCGTGCAGTTTCTCTTTAGAAGGTTCGTATGAATTGAAGTACAAACCCAAAATCAGCGGGTACATATACAAAGACAAGTTGACTAATTTATCTGGGGTGAGCGTCAAAGTGTATTTTGTATGGCTAAATATTGTGGAGGTAAAGAGAAGTGGTGAAAATCTTGATTTTTCAGTGGGTATTGCATCTGCTGATTTCCCCATTATTAACTTTTATGTTTGCCCGAACTGTTCTAATGTGGACCATAATTATGTTTCCTCCATTTAGCTTTATTAGCTCAGGGTAGGTATGTTGGATTTTCATCTTCTCTTTTATTCTTTTTCTGGTTTTTTTCTTTCTTTTTTCTTTCTTGTTTGTACTTATTATAACTCTACTATAGAGTAGTCATTCAGAAATTGTTGTTGCTTTCTCTGCTTGTTCTTTTTTAGACTAAGGAATTAAACTAATTTTATGTGATTACACTCCCACCTCGAGAAATCAACAATCTCTTTGCAAACATTGTTTTAACCGGACTTAATTTGGCACAAACAAATGAATTGATTTGAGCCTTCTTTATTTTGTTAATGATTGTAACTACTTTAGTCTTAAAAATATAAAATGTCAAAAATTCATAACCACCAATTCAAATATGCAAGTACTAATTTCTAAAATTAACTCAATAATATGAAATACCTGATTAAAGTTGAAGAAATCAATGTACTCTTATTGTGGTGATAAAACAATTTAATCAGTGAATCTACATGTAGATATACAGTTATAAAATTAAAGAAAATTAGTATGCATATATGAAACTTGTACTAGATTATCTTTGTAGATATTAATTGCTTCCAACAAAAATATTAAAGTATCAAGTGTGATTATTTAGTTACGAGAAAAATCAGAGCTCCTCAAACCCTTCTTCATCTCCTTCTTCAATCCTCTCAAACTCTCTCCTCCATATTTCCATCTGCAAGGAATTAAACGTCTTATTCTCGACTAAGAAAATCAAACAAAAGAAAAGTCGAATATTCCTAACCTGAACATCGGAAAACTGCAGCTGCTCGGCAACAAAAAGTACATTTTCTTGGCAATGGGGTGTCGATTCTTGTTTCCCAAGGTTTCTAGCAACTTCATCATACTCTATCATCATCACCTTTAGACCGTGGCTCGTGAAAATCTTGTCCATCCATTCCATTTTCGTGCTCTGTATCATTAATTCAAACATACATTCCTCTGTATCATATTTATTATGTAAGAGAGAGAAACATATATTAGAGCTTGCTGCTAACTAACCTTGTCAGTTTCGAAAAACGAACTAGGAAGTTCTCCGACGAACAAAGATCCCTTCAGGGCTAAATTACTTACAAGCCTCAAAATATCTTTAAAATTACCCAAAGTCTGTAGTGGAAGTCCCTGCAACATAAATGTAACATAAATCACAATTTGCGTTTAACTCCAGATTTAGCCTAAGTCGTGAAAATACCTGGAAAACCCAAAAACTAGGTCTGGCACCATTATACCCTTTACTGCATAGGACTTGTTCAATATCAGATGTTTCAGATCGTACGTGAAGTAACAAGCAGCTTCTTCGAATTTTAGCCCCTACATCTATTCGTTTCCCCCAAATCGTAAAGTTAGCACATAATCTATTTCTTATCAATCAAATACCAATATAAAAATTGAAGCTTTCGTCCTATATAAAACAAGATTCAGTCAAGTCACCATTAGAGCTTGTGATACATGGCATTGGCCAATATATAAATGTTGCTCGTACTTTTAACCACCAAGAGAAGCACTGCGATGAATCTTATTCTCTTGAACGGTTTTAAATAATATTAACATCTTTACACACACAAGTAGTAGATTACAAACCTTGAAGATTTTGAGTCGATCTTCGGAATGTTATATCTGGAGAGACATCAAATATAATGGTTGACGGCGGCCAATTAATCCTGTAAGGACGAGTGTCCATGCCATCTGTCAATAAAACAACCTACAACAAGTAAAGACACAACAAACTTCAAAACTTGTCGAAACAAAAGCAACACTTTTTGGCTTTTTGGTGTGGAAACAAAATCAACCTGCCTTAGCCCATCGATTTTGTCTATTGTGCTAAGCAATTTATCATCAATGAACTTGGTTGCAAGACAGTGCTTTTGCAAATCCACATCGATTTGAATATCAGTTGGTACAAGGCATCTGATGTATGGGTCTGTCAATACAGGATCTGCCAAATCCAAATTATACATATCAAACACTTTTTCAAATTGCATTTTAATGCAAACAAAATCCTACAATCAGACATTTCGTTCATAAGCTTAAGAAAATTGAGATTTTCCAGGTATAGTTGTTGGCAGCTCATTTAAATGATGAAAAGTAAATATGAAAAGAATGTAGTATCTAGAATGGAACGAAACAACACCGTAATGGGTCCTCATATATAGAACAAGAAGTTAGTATCCACTGAGAAAATACAACAGAAGCAAAGCACTTTGTGAACTTATTACACGTAGGTGTTTGAAGAAATGTTTGAATGAAAATAACAAGTGAAAATGGGAAGTAAGTATGTTGATGAGCATAGATACCAGGACGAAGAGTCTCCCGGCCGTAACGAAGAGAAGCGCGCTCCATAGCGGATTGGGTATGACGGTTATTGTCTTCCATTGTATTGAATATTCGGTTCTTCTTTGTCTTGGAAGGGTGAGGAAGCCATGGCATATGAGGAATATTATTTAGATGCGGACATCGCAGCACAAATTCCATAATGATTGCCACCCAGCTTCGATTTCTTTTCTTGTAATTCTTTATTTTGTTAATGAGTACAACTACTTTAATCTTAAAAATATAAAATGTCAAAAATTCATAACCACCAATTCAAATATGCAAGTACTATTTTCTAAAATTAACTCAATAATATGTAATACCTGATTAAAGTTGAAGAAATCAATGTACTCTTATTGTGGTGATAACACAATTTAATCAGTGAATCTACATGTAGATATACAGTTATAAAATTAAAAAAAAGGGTAATATGCTTGACACCCCTTAAATCAAACCTAATTAGATAAGGATGACAACCTCAAATGAAATATTTTAACTAAATCCTTAATTCTAAATAAAATATGTCCCACATCCTTTAATTTTTATTTAACCCGAAAATACCCTTAATATAATTAGTAAAAAATTAGGGTTTTTTTCTCCTCTTCTCTTTTCCCCACTCCTTTTTTTTGCGCCGCCCCACCCAACCGCACCCCTTCTCTGTTTTTCTTTTATTCCACCGTATCCACCCACCCACCATTTCATTCTTTATCTCACTTTGATTCTCTCTCTCTCTGCCTCTCTTCCACTTAGGAATAAGACAACGGAAAGAGGCCCTGGATCTCTCTCTAAATAGCCTGAATTTTCTCTCTCCTGCCGCCCCAACCCCCCTCCCCTTTTCTCTATTTTTGTTTTTTTTTTACAGATTTGAGTGTTAGATAGCAGTGGAGGGTATGGTGGGTTGATTATAAAGACGAATATGGTGAGTTACAATGACTAGTATGCTCTTTTGAGACGGATCTTCGCTTGGGTATAAAAACGGCTGTGACGGGTGGTGGACCTGGCGGCGGCTATGGCGGCGGTGGGTATAAAGGCGGCTATCGTGGATGGCGGGTCTGTCGGCGACTATGGCGTCGACCGATATAGAGACGGTTAGAGTGGTTGTGATTGCGGTTATGGTGGAGGTAGGTATGGGATATGTAAGACGATGGCCATGGCGGGCGGCGGCTATGGCGGTTGTGATTGCGGATCTAGGGTTTCGTTATTTATGAGCGTTTATGACTACGGGTGTCTACGGATGTCTACGGATCACTATGAGTGTCTACGAATGGGTAGCGAGAATATGTGACTACGAATTTCTATGGTTCCTATAGACGACTACGACCGATTTTTTTCCAAAAACATTCATAATTTCAATATTAATAAACTATAGTAAACCATAGTATACCATAGTAGACCATAGTATTTTTAAAATCCGATGTACTATTTAACAAAAATGTAAAAAAATCGTAATTTTCAATAAAATGTTAAAAATAAGGAAAAATATTAAGTTGTTTATAATAATGTGAAAAATGCTAGAGTGAAAAACGAAAAAATAAAGATGACAAAGTCCGTAAAATAAAAAATTATAAATACAGTTTGATTTTTACTTAAATGCAAACTTTGAATTTGTGAGTAGAAGGGCATTTTTGGAATGAATTTAATAAATGATGTGAAGCAAAAGTTTAATTTTACTTGTCATTTAGTTCTAATTAATTTTGTCACTAGGGACCTATATCTTAAGACCCCTAAAAAAAATTAGTATGCATATATGAAACTTGTACTAGATTATGTTTGTAGATATTAATTGCTTACAACAAAAATATTAAAGTATCAAGTGTTTACTTAGTTAGGAGAAAAATCAGAGCTCCTCAAACCCTTCTTCATCTCCTTCTTCAATCCTCTCAAACTCTCTCCTCCATATTTCCATCTGTAAGGAATTAAACATCTTATTCTCGACTTAGAAAATCAAACAAAATAAAAGTCGAATATTCCTAACGTGAACATCGGAAAACTGCAGCTGCTCGGCAACAAAAAGTACATTTTCTTGGCAATGGGGTATTGATTCTTGAAAATGACACCAAAAAAATTGCCCCTATAACTTAAAAGTATGAGGAGATGTTAGGCTTATAAGGGACAATCATTTTTTGGTGTAGTTTTTAAAATTGATAAGCAACATGGGATGATTTTGGAACTTGTAAACAAATTAGGGTAAAAAGCCATTCCAATGGCGACTTCATTAAGAATTGCCATTCCTTGTGGCGACTTCTCCCATTTTTTTATTGGACTTGCCATTCCTATTGGCGACTCCAATTATGTTAAAAAAATCGATCATTAGTAGAAGACAGTTTTATCCAGAGAAGGATTTGTGGAGGTTATTTACAATAATGGTGTAACAGCGAAAATTAATAACAAAAATGGTGTGGTTTTATTTTGATTTACATAAGTGGTGTAAATCACCACTCCTACAGGCGATTTGGGTCTTATCTGACACATCGGGATTGGTCCGAAATAAAACAACTTATTTACTTTTTTGTTTTATAGTGATCAACAGCTGCGATTTGGAGGAGGTAAGGAACAATCGAGATTGAAGTCGAAAAGTCACGGATATCCATCGCTCCTTGCATAGGCGATTTCAGGTTTTGCAAAAAAAAAAACCCTTGTCAGAGGCGATTCCTGCACATTGGTAGGGGCCAACTAGGCGGCTTTATTTGCGCAGGTGGGGAGGTTTGGGGCTGGTGTAAATAAATATCACTTCTTCTCCATTTTTTGATGCTCCTTCCAAAACTAACAGGTTAGTCTCCAGTTTCTTTTTTATTTATTTATTTTTTTATAATATTTATATTTTGAATGTTCTTAGAAAAAAAAATTAATAACTATTTCAATTTTTTAAACACA